TAGTATTTGATTTTTTATTGTTATTATTATTGTTATTGTTATTGATAACCTGTTAGTTCTGGGTGACATGGATGATTTGTGATGAAAAAATTTGGTCAGGGGTTGGTGATGGGAATGTCTCATCATGAGAAATTGCTGCTTTGTGTTGTGTGATGGAGATGTCTTATCATGAGTGCACAATGACCTTGGAGAGAGATTGACTCAGTAGGTCTTGAGGAAGGGGCTCATTTGGCTTTCCACTTATCTACAAGACTGGTTTATCAACCATCAATTATGATGTGGTGTAGAGTGTGTTAGGTAATGTTGAATAATATGAAAATATAAGAAATAGAACACAATATTACTTACTATTACAGTTATTGCACAGAGTGCAGTCTACTTGGAGAGATAACTGTTATTATTATTATGATTATTATTACTATTTTGAGAAAAGGAATTAGGGCATTAACTTTGTCTTCTTTCATTTCATACCTTACATCTTTTTTAAGCAAAAGTAAATAACAATCCATTTGCACCAACAGGAGATAGGAAGGCTAGCAGGTGGGTCAGAGGCCTTTTCCCCTTCACGCTATGTGCTTTACCGGCGTCTAGGGGAGTTGGTGTTTAACCGCTACAGTGTGCAGTACAAGAAAGAGGTCGGAGTCATGGACAAGCTCAAGCAAGTGTACAAGGACTACTGTGATTGGTACATCAACAGTCAGTGTAGAGGTAAAGTTACCTTACTGGTAAACAATATTGGTCCTTTTGCTTTGTACATCCCAAAGTAATCCCACTGTAACCTCATTTAATACTCTGTTGTTTTTATTTTGTGCAATGTAATCTTGAATATCACTGAAATACATCTGTATTTTTTTCCATTTTATTTACACCCATTTCTATCAGATGGGATCTCGTACATCCCTCGAGTCAGCTGGTCGGAGTTTGCTAGCCGGTACAGTGAAGGGCCCAGGCTAGATCACAGCCCTGTGGAGTGGCCCAACACAGTTCAGCTTGCTCTTGGCCAGTTCCTCTACTCAATGCTGCTCACTAAGGTCATGGTGTGGAAGCCACTTCACTCAGAAAAGTTAGTCTTTATATACCTTTGTTGCATCTATTTAATTAGTTAAGTTTGTTTCAAATCCAAGCAAAAGTCATTATTAAATTTTTTCCTGTTTTTGTTTAATTTGATTTAGTCAAACTGTTTGATTTTGTAACAAGATTGAAAATGAGTCATTTCTGTCATCTGATGTTGATTGTTTTACTTAATTACATTAGGTAAAACAGAAAAAGAAATTCATCAGCATCTATATTTATCTGCCATTATCAATGCTAAACTGCTGCACTTTAACAGGCACACGTACCCAGCCTTGTATGAGGTAGAGCGGTCATACGGCTTTCGTGTGGTGGAGGAAATCAAGCCTTCCCCAACATTGCTAGACCTCTACAGAAAGGCATCAAAGACCAGCTTGACATTCGAGGCATTTGTAGCCCCCATGGTGTCACCCCCCATCCCCTGGGTCTCCATGAAGCTTGGGGGTTATCTGCTCACTGATGCCAAGATTGTAAGGTGAGATTGCTTGGGGAAGGTATAGAGTCAGGGTGCATGTGATCGGCTGGCAGTCTGACCTGAGGTTTTTCATTTTTATGGATGGTTAACTCACCAGTTTCTATTTTCCTTTTAGAGATTTACTAGTGTTTGATTTTCTTTAGATATTTAAGTTTTATTTTATCAAGTGATTGTTCTTTATATTTTTGCATTTTTTTTTATTTTTTTTATAAAACCTATAATTTTTTTTTTTTTATTATTCTAATTATAAAACCTATACATACCCTTATTGTATTCATTGAATACAGTGAGAAAGTAAATTTTAACTGCAGTCTACCCTCCCTATAACAGGGCTCATTATAAGTGAATAGGCCCTTTGAGTATGAGTTCTTTAGAAAAAGAATCAGGATTCCCAATGGATAATGAGAGAGTAGCTGAAAAGAATACATTTGGATGAGTAACAATAGGATTGGCTTAAGATAGGCAACCTTGTGTGTGTCATGAGGTAAGTGTAAGGGTGAGGTAAGGCTTTCATGGATTTCCTGGTTATTACTGACTCCTTGATTATATAGAAAGTGCTTTCCTTTTCAACTCATAGTAATGAAGGTAGACTGCACTCCCATTTTTCTCCTTTTGTCTTGTGTTAAACAAAACAAAGAAGTTAGAATCTTAATGAAGGTTTGGTTATTTTCAGGTTGCCCTACAATGCCCACCAGCAGAAACAGAGAATGGTAGAGAAGGGGAACCAGCAGCTTTTCCCCGTCATGGACTCCCTCAACCAGCTCGGTTCTATTCCCTGGATGGTAAACAAACCCATGCTTGATCTTCTCATTGAGGTGAGTGAAAGCTCTGGCTTTGCAGTTTTTTAACCCATTCGTCCCGGGTGTCACATATATGAGACACAGGGAAAAAATAAACAGTTTCGGGCTGCCCGCCAGTGCGATGCTGTCTCGGAGCCGTGCTCCGCGGCAAAAG